CTATACCTACCATAAATAATTTGATATCTACATTGTCTATACCTGGGATAACCTCACTTATTAGCAGTATATCGATGAACATAATAAACATTTTTTTGATAAAATGTAGGTTAGGGAACTGGGTTCCCTGGGAGAGGACTATTGTTTAGATAAAGTTGTTCGTTGGGGATAATAGAATTGTGATTTTTCGTTGACTTGTTCATTTCCATAGATTCCACAAATTCATCATTTTTCCCTTTTTCGCATGTGTGGACGATTTTAAATTATCTTTATCTATTTAATGTTTCGAATTGTGAAGATGTTCATAAATGATTTTTTAGCCGATATGACATGCTTATGGTACCTATACAAAATTCTACCAGTTTGGCCTGTATATATGTCGGGACATTCAACACATTCTAATCGATATATACCAGATCACTTCCCTTTGTCTAATTTAGATTTGGCATTGAATAATCTCTTTCCTAAATTTCCGTTGGATATGTAGGATGTTTGTTGATTGAATTTTGAGAGATAATTTTTAATATTCTCGGAGATTCTACCTGCATAATTGATACTAACATATTCGTGTTCTGGTCTTGTGGAAATTGAATATAGTTATTTCATTACCGATTTTTGTCGATTATTCATTATAAAGTTGTTAACTAGAGTNTTTTATTCTTTTTTTAATTGTTTAAAAAAAACTTGTTATAAACAAATTATTTTTTTTATTTTTATTGTTATTAACTGCTATTTGTTTAATGATTGCGATTTCACTTCGGATGTTTTGATTGGAAAGGGATATTGTGAAAGCCCTATGTATCATTGACCTGAATGCAAACAATTTCTGTGAAATCGGGTTGCAAGAGTCAAAAGGTATTGTGCAATCTGTGAATGTGTTTTTTCGGAAAAAGTTAAAGTCGAATTCACCATCGTTTTTGGATATTGTCAGATCTAAAAAATTATAAATGGTCTTCTATGGTCTTCTTCTTATTGACTAATAATTTAACCCGAGTTTAGGTATAATTCGGTTATTCCGTAAATTTTCAGAATTCATGAATCCAGTAATTTCTAAGCATTCCGAAAGAATGAGTTTCAAACCTGTCTCTTACAGATATAACACGTCATAGTCGTGGTTGAACTCATGACTCTCTACCTAAAGACGATTTGCAAATGTGGAATTGGTCTTCACATTCAAGACACTATGTTCTTTCAATTTTTGGGAAATGGTTCTTCCCGTTTGCCCAATGTAAAGTTTAGGCCAATCAATCCGACACTGAAGTTTTTGTCTTTTTGTTTTTAATATGTTCTTTCTGTGAGTTATGTCCACGTCTTTGTTTTTAAATAACCAGCGATGTTGTGAAATGTTCTATGACGCTCATGATCGTTTCTTCGAGTGGAATAGACATAGTAATTGGTTAGTTTGTAATTGGTAAGCTACTAGGTCTATCCCACTTCAAAAAACGGTAATAAGCGGACGTGAGTCATTGAACAAATAATGTTTCAAGGAAATTGATTTAAAACAAAAAAACGTCAGTGTAAGATTAGGAGTATATGAGTTGGCTTGTGGTTCTCACCAACCAGAAAGAACCGTTTTCCAAAGAATAACATACGAGAAGTATTTTCAATGTGGAGACCCATTCCACATTTTTTGCAAACCATCTTTTGGCAGAAGGGCATGAGTTCAACTATGACGTGCTACATCTGGACAGAAACTCAATCTTTTGGCATGCTTAAAATTATAGATTCAAAAATAATGAAAATTTACTTAGTTACCGAAGATAATTGAACTTTTCCTTGCTATCAAATTTGTTTTCTAATGTGGAAGTTGTAATAATCCTTTTACAATGTTTAAATTTTCAATTAGTTTATACCTAAACTGAGGTAAAATCTGCATCTCGATGCAGATTTACCAACTATGTTCGCATCATCAGGAGGTAATTGGACTGTATCATCTTTCATATTGATTAGGGGCAGACGATCTATTTTCTGATTTATTTTTGTTATTTGATATTTCATCATCCAAAGTTTGAAATTTTTCGCTCTCAATAATTCGAGACTCGTTGATTTCGACTAATATCACTTCAGCCAATCGAATGAATCATTGTTGATTGTGATTTGTAAGTGGATCCAAGCAGAACTAGGTATGGTAACAAAATATCACTAAACTAAATTCTCACTACTGTCATGAAATATTGATAGTGCAACTGACTAAGTTGTTTACACTTTCCAAGTAGCTTTTTTGCAACGTCTGTGCATGCTGATTGTATTGAAAACAAGGTGATAAGAAGTTTAGGTATATAAGTTTTATCTCTGGAAATATCGATGTCTTTATTGAAAGACACTGTAAAATTGCGAATTCGGCAATACATTACTGTCCGTTTTTCTATTCGGTTTAAAAACATATTGTCTAGGTAGACTAAACAGTTTACAATGACAATTCATTTCAGATAAGGATTGAAACTTTTCTGCTAATCTGCTGCAAATCTTCCTGGTCACAAAATTGGAAAAATGAATCTTTCTTTCCTATTCAAGATCAAGGTAGCCTGGTAGCTAATCAGGCTAGTCTCCTCTCAACAAGCGAGAGAAATTTGAAACGTGCGACTTGGAACTTTATCTTCAAGTCAGATGGACTCTCACATCGAAAGATATATCTTATGTTTTTGAAAGATAGATAGAGAAACATTCTATCTCTCCACCTGATTTGGAAATAAGGCCTCTATCAAGAACTACCTAATTAACACAAACAGATGGTTCAATTGGAACAGCAGCCATAGAAACAGCAAATCTGCTAACTGAATAATTTGCGTCCCACTCCGCAGTCGATTTTCTGGGAAAGGCACCACACTAGCATCCATCGTACTTCAAAAGTGTGCCAATGAACTCGCAGCAGTATTTTGCAAATTGTTCAACCTGTCTTGAAAGAAAGGGGTGTTTTCTGCTTGTTGGAAGATTGCTTGCGTTCAGCCTATTCCCAAAAGGGCAAGAAAACTCTTCCAAATAACTATAGACCAGTCGCTTTGCTATCGGTGATATCAAAAATCAGTCGTAAACCACCATATTTCCAAATATTTGGAAGGCTTCAACATCTTGAGCGATAATCTTTCGGAAACAAAGATCAACAGACGACCTTCTATCGTATGTCACCCATATTTGGAATAACGCAATAGAGAAACATGAGTCAAACGCTGTTGCGCGTGATATTTCTAAGGCCTTTGACTGTGTGTAGCATGAGGGTTTGCTGGCCAAAATTCGATGCTATGGCTTGTCGAATTATTTTTATGTATACCTCTCCAGCTTCCTGAAAGAACATTTCCTGCGAGTGACCGTCGATGGATATCTCTCGATTACTTCACATCATGGTGATACTTTCACAATGCGGCACCTTCACACAAGAAAATTATAAAATTAATTTTGCAATATCGTCTAATCAAAATTTAGATTCACTAAAAAACATGCATAACCTTCACTTTCTGGCTTCTCCTTTTTAAACAGTCGAGTGGTTCAGCCTAACTCCACTGATGAGACCTTGGCGGGTCGAAACAGCGCTGTCTCGTGTTGAATCATCAATTCGTCTTCAAAAGTACAACATTAAAATATAATGACGGAATTCTGAGTCTATCGTTTCTAAACGTTTTATTCATAGGAAATATTTTGCATACGCGATGCTCAGTTGTGAGGAACTATTTTACGTACATAAAAAAATCGGCACGTAGCTTTTTTTTTCACTGGGTCACGTCTTTTACTCTTTTGTTCACACTTTCCCATTCTGTACCATGATCTCTCACTACATGCAACTTCGTCATAATTTATTTAGTGGTAGAGGTATCTTGCATTTGGGTTCACACATTCATCAATAATTTTAACAATCGACGATGGGTAAACAGGAATTCTTTCTTGTATGGTCAGGGCCGTACTTGTTTAGTTGCTCCATCTGGAGTCGATTTGAGTAAGTTGGTCAACTTTTCACAGACTTACTCTGAGGATGCCAACTATTTGAGTCGGCAAAACGTTGAAAACCTCACTCGAAACAAATGACCTTCAATGATTATATTTTCTACGAATATTTTGTTATGATGTTTCAATAAGTACCTAATGAATAGGTCACAGATTGATGAAAATGAATAAGAAATTAAATCTCGAAGCATTCATTTCTCCCAACGTACCTATACAATAAGTTCTGGTATCGGTTTTCTTCAAAAAAATAAATGTCTCCGAACCAGATATAATGTCACGTCAGACAATTCTACATGGAGCTCCGCCCCCAAACATACCCTGAAGCTGCTGCTTTCCATCCAGAAAAGAACCATCCGGCTGATTGAAACATCGACGAAATGTTGGAGATTTGTCTCTCTTTTCTAGATACTTTCACGGGAAGTGTTCAAGTGATTTGGCACATTTGATTCCACCAAGAGCGGTACATATCAGAAATACGCGACGGACTGTGGCTGCTCATCGTTTTGAAGTTCAACTCAGTACATCTCAAACTTCACTGTTTGAGAATTTTTTCATTTGGAGAACGGCGTTTAAGTGGAATAAACTTCCTGAGAACGTTTTTCCAAATAGATTGAATATCCAGCAATTCAAATCCAATGTGAATCACTACTTTCGCACAGGCACAGCTCTAAGAGCGCCTTAGGGATTTTCCTGTAATGCATGTGTTTTGCCCTTAAAAAAAGCTTTAATTCTTCGTATATATTTTTTATTAATTTGCCAATTCAAACGATTTCTCCAACAGTTATGCTTAATTTGGTTCAAACAACTACTTTCATTACAATAAATGAGTATCGAGTTTTGGTAAAATATAAGAAACGTTCCCCGAAGCATCATATTCAAAAACAAAAATAATGAATTGAAATAAAGTTCAATGAGGAGTTTTAACGAACTTTTCGACGTTTTGGGACAAATTGTAATCTGTTAATTCAACGGACATCACTTGAGCAAATATAGCTTTCCGTTTTATTAATAATTACTCTTCGAATCGAGAAGAACAGTTTCTCAAGTAATTGTTTTTTTTTCAGAATTGGCAGTCGTAGTAGAAAACGAAATAAATTTATATCAAAGGAATGGAACCCTCATAGAATCAAAAACGCAACCTTTCAGTTCGCTAAAGGCGTTAGCATATGACAATGTTAGAGACCAATTTATTGTCAGTGATATGGACAAGGTAATCGACACCATCTACACTGTACAAATGAACAAAGAGACTGATATCACCGAACCAATCATAAAAGGTCTTCCAGGAGACGTTCAGGTGAGAATGCAAAACTTTTTTTTCTGGGTGAAACTTCAGCTGTGATGATTTTTATTGTCATTCAAATGTGAATGTATCCGAGATCAATTTATTTCAGATTTTGACTGTCTAGATAGTACTCCTGATTCTCAATTCATCTCAATAATGAGTGTGTAACGCTTATGATATTATCGTTTTCCAGTTATTTGATCAAGGTCGATGATATTTATTAAATTGAGGTTTTATCCACAACTCTAGGAGGACAACTCCTCGGGAGGATGTACAATGGGTCACATGTGGCCTAAGTGCGTGGGCTTACACTCACCCTCCCTACTCTACAGATACTTTGTATCTTCTTAATATTTCAATTTATGACTGAAACTTTTCAATACTGAGTATAATAATGCATCAAACATTAGTTAACGGTTATGAGCTCTCCTCTACGAGTACAAGTCCGCAGTCGCAAATTTACCGTGATAAGAGAATGACCGACTTCAAACGTTTACCGTTAGGTAAAACTCTAAAAACTGATAAAAACTAACTTGCTAGAATAAACTTGAAGAAAATTTAAAAATAATTTTTGGAAGTGCACTCAACTCTCAAACTGGTGAAAACGTGTTTTCCACACCAGTACAGAAGCACTGATTCTTACTAGCGTTTCAGTAACCAAGTTAGCGTCATCAGGAGATAACTAAAACTAAACCTAATAGCTATGATAGAGCTTTTATTTATATCGGGACAAACCATCACCTTGCATAAAGTGAGTGTCATGAGATTATTGCCTATATAAGTTATTGCTATTTTGTTATTGTATTCTAATTCCTGATTTATATGCTAATAACTACTTGTTAAGATGCTTATTTTTCGCACTCCGAAAGATCTTGACCTCTCTCCAATTTTGAATTCATTCAAACGTAAGTAATTGCACTTGGCATCACGTCAGAGACACCGACTCAGAGCCCTCTGACGTCACACATGATTTTGGAACTTGCGGTTTTCTGTTTCAATTTATATCGTTCCTACAACTTTTTAATCGGAAAATATTTTGTTCACGTTAGGGTTTTTTTGCCCAGAAAAATATCTGTTTTTGACCTTTTCCGGTGGTCGAATATAAAGAGCTAAATATCCGCTCTTGTTGCACATCGGAAACTACATGTGTAGACGAATAGTACGGAAATGCGAGTACGTATAGTTTTTTATCAAACGGTAACTAGGTCCGTGACCATAGGTTAATTTATCAAAATGACACTTTGATAACGTTCAGGCGCAGAATATTCACAAAATGGAGTAATCACGGAAAACCTCATTAAGGTTAGGTACCTAACTATGCAGATCGAACGTTTTCACTAAAGATTGCATATAACTTTTTATGGCTATTATTATATTTAGTGAAAGCTACTTACTTACACGAAATTATGTTTCTTGTATTATTTTCATAACTACAACAAGCGATGTTACTGTCATCTCCAAAACTAGACTACCAGTGATTCTAGGGCAAAACCAACATTTACAAATATCACTAATGGAATCTTAAAAAATTGCATTTAAAGATTGACAAAATTAGCAATATTAAATAGAAAATGTATAAAATGCATTGTAGAGGTTGAAATAAAAATCTCACATAACTTACTTGCCAAAAATTGAATTAGAAGTATGCCCTTTCAATTTAAGTATATCGTGTATAGTGAAAATCTTCAAGTTGAATTCAGCAAGTAGTGTGGGTATGTAAAAATCTTTTTTGATTAAAGAATAAAGGAACGAACTTCAACGCTCATTATTCAAAAAGTTTAAAAAAATAGGACTGTGGACACAACAATCCAAAAAGAGGGCAAACCGCGGACACGTGTTTCTGGCTATTGGCCTCATCAGCGCGGTGCAGCCAAGTGTAAAGATGGGCAACACTTGTTTGCCGAAAATAGGAAACAACACAAACGCACCGAGTCAACAACAGGAGCCAACCGCACATTTGTGGTTCCAGTTAGAAGACCCAGAATTCCCAGGCTACATCTAACATGACCACGTAGGCAGTTATAGCTACCTGCGTGATATTCAGGTCCAGGATATAAATACAAATAGAGATTTTATCGAGTGTGCATGATACGAATCAAAAATGAAACAATTCGTGGACACAACACTCCAAAAAGGGGGCAAACCGCGGACACGTGTTTCTGGCTATTGGCCTCATCAGCGCGGTGCAGCCAAGTGTAAAGATGCGCAACACTTGTTTGCCGAAAGCAGGAAACGACACAAACGAACGGAGTCAACAGCAGGAGCCAACCGCACATTTATGGTTCCAGTTAGAAGACCCAGAATTCCCAGGCTACATCTAACATGACCACGTAGGCAGCTATAGCTACCTGCGTGACATCCAGGTCCAGGATATAAATACAAATAGAGATTTTATCGAGTGTGCATGATACAAATCAAAAATGAAATGAGATACATATGTTTTCGAATGAAAATTAAAAAGATATCTAGAGAAAACTTATTGAATATTGTACTGTGTCTTGTGGTAGGCTCATTTCGATTATTCATTTTTAGTTCTTATTTATCTTGTAGAAAGTTTACCAATAGTTGTTCATCTTCGGACGCGAAATTAACATTGAAATCTCCTTCTAAAATTAGTGGCAACGTATTATAGTCTTCTCCTAATTCTTCACAGCCTACTCGACCGTAAATGTGTGCTCGCACCTCTCTCTCGTCCCTACAGTAATATACGAAACGTAACACTATCTCTTTCTATCCTCGCTAACTTATACCTCTCTCTCAACTTCCGTTCGCCTCGCCCGATCACACTTTTCGTAACGCTCTCGTCACGCATCCACCGGCTTACTTCCCAAGTCAAGCGCGCTTGAAGAAGTTTTACTTCAAAAGTGTATATCACTATGTGGTGAACTGCATATTTTTAACTAACAAATACCACAGCTCAGTTCATTTGAAATTTTTCAAGTTGTTAATTTGTAGGGAATGGAGATAAAATTGGGTACTTTTGAAATCATAGTGGAGTTTTCTAAAAATCGTCCCGTTCGAATGTTTTTGAAATAATGATCATAAATAGTTACTTATTGAGAAATTAAATCAATAATTTGCTACATCTATTATTTTTTCAGGGGCTAGCTATCGATCCTCTCGAAGACATCTTATATTGGACTGATGCAATCAACCATACAATAAACTACGTATCATTGAAGGAAACACCTCTGGAATCCAAAGAATTCCTTTCGTTTGATGAAACGTTACCCCATGCCCTCGCCATTGACGCATGCAATCGGTAGGTGGAAAAATCAATAACGAGAAAGTTATGTAAAGTACTCACCTTACATAGTTTGCATCTATTTTTTGTTTTTGTTTTGTCTTCTGAATGTACTTTTATTCTGAACTTGACACATACTGCAGACCAAGAGCTGATGGAAAATTCAGAAGAGTTTCTTTGTAATTATTTCGATAGTAAGGATCAGTAACGATTTTGCAACCAACTATTTTTTCAAGGACAAAATACAAGCACTACAGAAAAATCTTTGAGGCGCTCTATGAGCGAAGCCTGTGCGAAATTAGCGATTCCCATTGGATTTGAATCGCTGGATATTAAATCCATTTGGAAAAACGTTCTCAGGAAGTTTATTCCACATAAACGCCGTTCTCCAAATGAAAGAGTTCTTGAACTGTGAAGTGTACTGAGTTGAACCTCATAACGATGAGCATCCACAGTCCGTCGCGTATTTCTGATATGTACCACTGGAATCAAATGTGTCAAGTTACTTGAACCCTTCCCGTGAAAATATCTATAGAAGAGAGACAAATCTCCAACCTTTCTTCGATGTTCCAGACTATCAAGGTTGCAAGTGATGTTCGCGTCTCCAATCAGGCGGATGACTCTTTTCTGGATGGAATCCATACATGAAAACAATACTCCAAAGAAGGTCTGATCTGAGCTCTATGAAGCATCAAAATTTGCTGAGATGTGTACAGTTTTCTGGTCTTGGAACAGTGTTCCAAGCTTTTAAGACGCAATCTTTACTATTCCAGCAACATGATTGTGCCAAGACATATTGGTGTCCATTTTAACTCCCAACAAACTTATCCGAATCAGAAAACGAAATTGTCTGATCTGACATTATTATATCCGGTTCGGAGAAATTCATCTTTTTGGAAAAAACCGATGCCTGGGTTTTTGTGGCATTGAATTGAACATGGTTACTTTCACCTCAATTTGAAAGTACTTCTAGATCCTCATTAAGATATTCAACCTCCTGCTTCCAGTGAGGATGTGCATCTGTAGCCGATGTCCTGGAATCCAAATGTAATAACGAGACTAGTTATTGGATTCTTGTTTTTTTCCAATAAGTTATTGATTTACAGTAAAAAAAAGGTTGGAGGCAATATGGATCCCTGGAGAACGCCAGCGTTATTTGGTGAAAGTATGGGAAAGATATCCATCGACGGCCACTTGCAGGGACCCTTTTTTCAGGAAGCTGAAGAGAAGAGCCATACACAAAAAGATCCGACAAGCCACACCATCGAAGTTTGGCCTGCAAACCCTAATGCCATACATGGTCAAACGCCTTAGAAATATCCAGTAGCTTCAGGGTATGCTTAGGAGCAGAGCTCCATACATGAGAACAATACAATACTCCAACTTATGTCTGATCTGAACTTTATAGAGAATCAAAAGTTTTCTGGTTCGGAACTGTGTTTCAAGCTTTTGAGCAGTGCCTTGTGCAATTCCATGATTGTGTCAAAACATATTGGTGTCCATTTTAGCCCCCAACAGACATATCGAATCAGAAAGTGGAATTGTCTGACCTGACATTATTATATCCGGTTCGGAGACAGTTATCCTTTTGGAGAAAACCGATGCCTGGGTTTTTATGATAAAATGAAAGGCAGCAATTTTTATACAAGAAAATGAATTATATGCCAAAAGAATTCCCCTTTTTTTCATTCAATTAAATTTCCCAAATGAATTAATTAATCTGATGATAATGAAATGTGGTTCCTTTAATTAACTTTGAATAATAGGATTGTTCGAATATTGAGGTGGCAGCATAATAAAACTTTAACTCTACCATGTACCATAGATATTTTTTTCATCTTTTATGAATTAAGTTCAAATAACCTAAACTTGGTAAAAGAAGGTTTTGGCTTTCTTTTTCTCTATGTTTCCCAACAAATTAAAAACATAGATGTAGTTTCTTGAATGGAAAGACCAACTCCACATTTGCAAACCATCTTTTTCAGAAGGATATAGTTTAATCACGACTATAACGTGTTAAATTTGGAACAGAAAAGTTTTAAAATCAACCTTTTAGAATGTTCGGAAATAAATAGATTTAAGAATTTGGGCCATTTACTGAATTACCGAATAACTCCCCATTACTGAATATTTTTTTATAGAACACTTATTTTTGCATAAAAGCAGGGAATATAAAACTCGTCAAATAGTACAATGAATATAAAATAATTGTATTCATTCCTACTGAGTAAACAACATTTCTTGCATCTACATTATACCATAACCTTCACTGTTTTGCAATACAAACTTTCCATATTGGTTTTTCAAATATGTTATTCATTTTGTTACATACCACTTGGTGTTATATTATTTCTGTCACTTCTTGTTTCCCTTTGAAACATATGTGATATACCTTTGTAGTATTAAAAATAATTACTAAGAATCCTTATTTTTACTTTTGAAATGATCATTTTCTTCTCTTTTCAGATACTTATATTTTACAAATCCAGGAGACAAACCATCAATAGAACGTATTAAATTGGACAAGACTCAACGAGAAACTCTAGTAGACAACCTAATCATGTCTCCAGTAGGGTTGGCAATCGACAATCAAGCTCAAAAACTGTACTGGGCTGACAGTCGAATCGGTACAGTGTCGGGTAGAATAGAAAGCATTAAACTAGATGGAACCAATAGAAATATTGTTTTGGAGAGAAACACCATGGAACCTTTTGGTTTGGCAGTTGACGAAGAAGCTATTTATTTTACTGATACTAACAATAATGGACTGTACATGTTTCCAAAAGTACAAGACCCTTATGATGACCCTATCAAACTTCTAGGTTTTTCTAATAAGCCAATGGGACTAGTGGCTAATAATAATTTCATCAAAGAGTCATCTGACTGTAAATCTCTGGACATAGCTATCAAGGAATACAAAGAACCAACACCTAAAGAAGATCTTACTTCAGAAAAAGAAACGCAAATCATCAAAGAGTGTTTGAATGGAGGAGAACTTACTGCCAACTATTGCCTTTGCAAAAGGGGTTTCACGGGAAGGCGATGTGAAACGTCCATTTGCAGTAGTTATTTTTGTTTGAATGGAGATTGTTATCTTTCTTCAGGAGGAAAACCACTTTGCCATTGTGAACGAGGTTTTGTAGGCGAGAGGTGTCAAAAGAACAGCTGTGAAGGTTTTTGTTTGAACGGTGGAGAATGCAGCGTGAACTCTTCCATTAGAAATGCACCAACTTGTACTTGTTCTGAGGGATACGTTGGAGACAGATGTGAATATGATATTCAGATATGTGATAACTTCTGTCAAAATAGGAAAAATGAACTGTTTTCCGAGAAGTACACATTACTGTGCAGGTAAAATATTAGTATTATGTAATCACATTTTCATCGAATCATTATTTATTTTTGATTTTTCCATGTAACTCTCAACTCTTAGTAGTGTTGTTGAGCTCAACCCCAAACGCAGCTATGATGATGTAATGGTTTTCTCACCTCGGTTTTTATTGGAAACTTTCATTCTGCGAATTAAATTGAAATTACCTACCTGAAATACAAATTTTTCATCAAGAATGAAAATAATGACAATATAAAAAGCATAGATGAAAAAATAGTTTCGAATAATAAAATAACTTGAAAGGATTCAAAAAAAGTTGATTTTTAGATTGAAATAGCCAATTAAGGACAATTCCAATATATGGCTATAGCATGAGGTGAAATGACAATTGGAGCAAATAACGTTGCGGGTAGCTTAATCATAAAATAATGTGGGAATCTTCCAAAGAAAGGAAGAAAACAGATAATTCCAAAATAAACTCTTCACCAAGATGAGTAGATCATCAAAGAAGTAACTTTCAGACACAAACTTGAAAAAAAACCTTCTCGAAACCACTCAACGTTTATATGATAAACATTGAAGAAAAATACTTTTGAAATAACTACTTTTATATGAACAATAAATTATTCAAAAAACCCTTTTTCCTATCCAGTTTGTACTCCAAACAGTCGTTATGGAATTGAATCGGATATTCACAGCATTGCTACACAATATAGTATATGAAAGAGGTAACATTTCACTTGCATGGAACACTGTCATCCTCAATTGCGGACATCGATGTTTCGGAATGAGACACTTGTCTCATTGCCTCTTCAGCACCAATCTGGATAACATTACAAGATAAAAAGTACTCAATACATTAATAAAATTACGACCTTATGTCACGAATGAGTTTCACACATAATATTTATTTAAGTTGAAAAATCTTTGCTTTAGTTCAGACTTGGAACACTCAAAATCATAACTTATGATAGGTAACCATACATATAAAATAACGTACCCTCAAGTAAACATCTGGAACTAAATGTTTGACAGGAAATCAATTTTGGTTTCTGTTCATTTTGGCTAATTACAAATATGTTTTGTGTTGTTTTGGTTGGTTTCTGGGTTTTGCTCTGATCTTTGGTTGTAATCTCCAAACGTTTCAACTGCAACTGCGGCAGTCATCTTCAGTGGCATGGTCGAAGTATTCTTCTTGACGTATCAATCGAAACTGTTTCAATTTCAGTGCGGTTTGCCAGTAAGAGGTATTTGTTCTTCTTTCCAAACCTTGTTGATTATTGCAAGTAGAATTTCATTACTTTTTTGTCCCATACATTTTAGAATTTCCGCTGTGATTTTTTCATTTCCAGGGGCTTTACCATTTTTAAGGTGTTTTATTGTTCTAGTTAACTCTTGCATTTATATCAGATCCTCTGTATTTTTTTGTGTCACCGTTTGTAAATCTGTGTTTTTTTCTAATTCTGATTTAGTTTTGAACATTTCTTGAAAATGCTCTTTCCATCTATTAACTATTAAGTATGTCTTTGTGTTCTTTAAGTGTCTTTATCCTTTAGTTACGAAAACGTATACCGCCAGATGGCAGTGCGATTTCGCCCGATGAAATAAATACAAACTCCTCCCTAATTCTAACTTGACCAGGCCGGGGCATTCCAGGGCCGAACTTTATTCGCCGACGNGTTATCATTGACAATTTTATGGCAATTTTGTACAGGTTTCCAGTCCTTTCGCTTATTAGGTTTCTATTAAACTTGTTTAGTTTTTTAGGGGTTCGTATACAGTAGCAGAACCTAACATAAACGTTAATATCATCATTTATTTCATTTCAAACAGACTGTGAGTTATGTACCTATCATTCTTGATAGAGCAAGGTCCTAGAGCTACCAGGTCTTATTTCATTTCACCAAAGCTAATATTCTGTGCATTTGCTAGCTTGAAATATCAATAATCTATGTTAAAGTATTGGAAAAAACTAATTTAGTGGGAGTGCATATAGTTATTTTATTTTAATATATTTGTCAGAAAAAGTATTTAGTTTTGCAGACTTCCACTATCAATTCAATTTTATAAAATCATTTCGCACATATTCCATGTTGAATGCAATTTTAAGTTGGTATATAGTAAATTTACCATATAATCTAGTATACGCCTGATATCTTTGAGAACGTCAACAGTATGTGGTGTTCAGAGGTGTTATTTCAGATAATTTCCAGTCAAAGACTGGTATTCCTCAGGGCTCTAGTCATTTTTTTCCATGTATTATAAACTCATAAAACAGGAGATTCTCCAGGAATCTAATTCAAAGTCACTTTTTTCTAAGTATTATAAACTCATTATTAATTTCTCAGACTGTAAATTATTCAGATATGATTTTAAGGTTTCAAAAAGAATTGAAGATATTCTAACTGAAAATTTTTACAAAGATATTTTGATATTATTTTTCTTCGGCCTAAAGAACACAAACTTCTCAGTTTAAATGCTTCTCAGTAACATTTACAAGAAAAAATATTCTATTACACACTTATTCTGAAAATTGAGAAATAAAACTTCCTATGTTTTAATACCACTTGTATTTATTGTTAACGTTACTGCTATACAAATATTCCAAACCGAAAACAAGAAAAGATTGTATTTGTTTGAAAATGTCCGTAAAGGACGAAAATACAGTAATATTAGTTACAAATACAAGTGGTATTGAAACATGGGAAGTTTTTATTCTAAATTTTCATGGTGATCTTCTACCACGTAGTAATGGCTACATCCATTAATGTATTCACTTATTCTATAATTAACCCTTACCTAGTGAAAAACATCTAGAATTTGAAGCACTATGAATATTATTCTACCTCATGAACTGAAATTTGATGAATAAATACATATAATTACTACAGCTAATAATACATATAAAATGTTAGAATTCATTATTAGGAACTTCTGCCAATTCAGTGGTATGAAAACACTAAACATTTTGTACATAATTATCTTGAATATGCATGAACTTCATTTCAGTTTTATGACCATTACAAAGAGAAACTCTCAAAATTAGAAAAAAAAAGTTTTTCAAGACATTTGTATTTTAATTTTTTTTGATATAACATATGCGACACTCGAAAGAATTTCCAGCTTCAAAACCCAAAAACAAACTGGGAATTAACACACTAGTATACATAATCAGTTAATAAACTGTTTCAGGATATACAACATGTTTGGTAATATATTTTCTTGTTAAAATGAAAAAAATATGATTCCACTATCACGAGATATATAAATGAGCTTGATGAATATTATTCCACTGATGAACGAATTTCACATTATAAACGTTTAATGATATGTTGTTATATTTTATTGGTAATGTATGATTTGATTGTAATCACATATTAGAATTTTATTCTGTAGATTACAAAATCAATAAAATGAGTAGAAAAGGAAATAAATTAGCAATGATAATACTGAGTAGTTTTAGGTTAAATCAACCTTGTGGTGGCGTATATAACATCTTGTTTCGGGAGGGGGGGGGGCATACAAAAAACAAAACCATCATATGTATATAATACCTTGAATTGAACTGCAAGTTTTATGTAATCTACACAGTCACCTGATACGATAGAATAGAGAAAACCTATGTATCGAAGTTTCATAAATTTCCTTCATCTTGATACAAAGATAAGTGGTTTATCTATTCAGTATTGTAAGAATCAATAGTAAGAGGGATGTTACCAATGATAATAATTAATGTGAATTTGATAAGAAAGTTAACGAACTTCATAACAAATTTAGTAAATACTGTGTCTCTAATCGATTATTAGTTAACCACAACAAAACCATTCTTATGCAATACTCTATGAAAAATAATAGTATGGTCCTGGAAATAAGTATATGTAACGGGACATTGATTACATCAGAATTTACGAAGTTTTTAGGCACGGTCTTAGTCTTCAATCTATCCTTCAGAAATCGTATCAATCATATCAGTAAGAAAGTGAATAGTGGGTATTATGCCATTCTGCAAATGAAGAACATCTTCAATAAGCTTCAACTTATCAATATTTACTATGCCCTCATATTTTCACATATATCCTATAATATAGTTGTCTGGGATAATGCAGTATCATCTCAAAGATTGCTGATATCATAAAAGAGAATAATACGCCTGATTTTCGGAATTAAACGTACAGATTCTTGCAAACCCCACTTTATTAAAAACAATATCCCCACTGTGCCATGTATATACATAATGAAATCATTATTGGCAATTAAATTACAACTCTCTAACCTCCCGACAAGTGGTGATAACCACAACTATAATACAAGATACGGTACTCGCTTGCAGATACCACAACATAGAACAACCCCTTCCTTTACAGGGGTTCAACTATACAATAAGCTGCCAGAGGATATTGGGAGTGAGAGGAAATACAGAATATATAAAAACAAATTGAAAAAGCTTCTAATCAGTAAATGTTACTATAAAGTAAATTGATTTTTTATTGAGTGACTGTGCCTGAATGTATTTTAAATGTATTTTATACTCTTAGGTATATGACTGGTGATAATTATCAGAATTAAATTGTTGTAATATGAATGTCTGTGAAACGGTGAGTAATTCATGATCTTTTTAATTTAAGATTATCTCTGTCATAAATGATTTGTTTCAATATAAAAACAAAATTACAAAATCAGTCTTGTTCTATTGAAGATAATGTATATGCAATATTGAAAACTGAACCTAATGGCCTTCCCTTGAAGAGTGAATATAATGCCACCCTCTTGATCTATCTGTCTGTCCAGTATCCTCTCAAGTCCTTTCAACAGGACAGTCTCTATTTGCCATTTATTATTATATTTCAATTAATTTTTTTATGTTTCTTGGATACTTAATCTTCCACAAATTGAAAAATTAACAAAGCTAAATTAGTAGAAAATCTGCTGAAGAGTAATATAGGACAAACTGAAAAGTTCACCAACGAAGTTACTAGGTAATATAAACCAATGAAGAGTCCAATTAATCAGTAACTTGTTTTATACTCACAAATTTTGCCAGTTTATATTCGTATTTCCGTTTTACACTGTTGCCTTAACAGTAATAACCTGGTACGCTGAATTTTCATAGAGCTTTTTGGAATACACTTGCTACTTGCAAAAAGAATAAATAAGGATTCTTCGAGTTTTATAATTGTCTGGAAAGGATACACTCCATTTTATTGCATGGTCACCAGTTGATTTTAAAATACGGTCCGCTACCCCTATCCCTGTTATCTATTTTCTCTTTATATATTCACCTTGTTACTTTGTTCTTACATCAAGTGGTCTTTTTCCACTGGAACAAGGTAATAATAGATACACTATTTTGTTTTCCAACCGTTTCTTGGGTTTTGTTCTTGATAGAAATATATCTCCATTGAATATAGTCGAAAGTGTACCTGAATTGTACTCAACATCGTTCCCATTTCCTAACATATTATACCATTTTTTTAAACATTAGAATGGGTATAATGAGCTATCCTTAAACAATAGACATCCTTAAACAATAAGCATATGTCATAGCAGACTTTTCTGTACACCTTTAAAAGAAAAAAGATTTGAATGTTGATTCAAAACATTAATTTCATACACATAAATGTTCCTCCTGTATCTCTCCCGTCCATTAGTTAAAAACATTGAAATATATTTGGTAGTTTTTGACTTTATCGTGTCAGACACACGATTAGACAGATGCGGCGGGGTTACTTTGTTTCATAATATGTAGTGATAAGCCAAGTCTATAAAAATTATGTCAGTACAAAGTGATTCTGGGAGTTTCACAAAATTTATTTGAGATGACTATCGCTACATAATCTTCTTTTTTTTTAGCCTTGTTTTGAACCCAAAGAGGACAAGAAGAAGCTACTGAACAACATGGAAGGCGATGAGCTGTACTAAAAACTATCTAAACAAGATAGGCTGTGACTGTATAAAGTATTAAAAAGTTGTTAAGTTTTTGAAATTTATATTTATAAATGAATGTACCTTTGAATTTTATAGCTATGTGTTCAAGGAGAGTTAGTTGAAATTGGCAGGTTTATTCAGAGTGGTCCAGTATTTTCAGATTGCAAGATAAGTTGTGTATTTGCATAGTTCAAATGAACTTATTCTAACAATTTTTTTCTGTGAAAAATAAAAAAACGAGATCATCAGCTCACGGCAGATAAAATTTCCAGTACTGCGTACTTAGATAATATACCTCGAAATTGAAAAGTTTATTTATGTTTCATCCAGATTTTTCATGGGTGACACAATAGTTAATATGTAATAATTTCAATTTGAATCCTACATTATTCATAGGATATAACTTCTCTACCATACATTCTATATTTGGTAGAGCTATATTCAAAAATTTCTCATAACTATGAAGATTACAGTTGAACTCACTTTATTTCAAATAGGCCTTGCCAATTACTATTCTACAAACACTGAGACAACGAATTATTGGGCCCCTCTGTATAATTGATAAAGCATGTTGATATTGACGTCATTCCTAAAAATATATGTAAGAATTGCCATGACGAGTCAAGTGCTTTCTTGATCCATCTTTAAGCAGAGAATACTTAATTTCTAGGAGTATACTTAATTTACAAACATTTGAGTATATAACAGTATAGAAACCAAAGGGATGTTCCATGAAAGACTTTAAGCATTTACTCGACTTCCATTTGGTGGTACATAGAATCTTTATTGATGAGATTGACACCACTTTTTCATTGTTTTCTGCAAAATGAACAAAGTTCACTGCCAATATATAGGTCACCCTTGGTTGTTTATGTTATATCCAAATAACTTTCATGGAATTATATGTCCATTCTTAGAAGGTAGATTTAGAAAGATTTTGTTTTTCTTTGTTCAAATAAGTTATTGTATTTGACCAGTTTTTAAGTTCAGTTGGAGGGTTGTGATTTTAGTAAAATTTTACTTGGTTATAAATTAAAGACGAGAGAAGCACTTTTTGTAAGTTAGGGAGAAGCTCTAGATCCTGGTTATTTCAATAACTCGAACCTGAGAATGGTTATGCAGCAGGTCGGCTTGAGTGTTGAATCGAGTTTATTTTTATTAGTGAAAAAGACGCAAGCAGTCAGAGTTGGCTCGTTTTTTATCCAATTGAAGCAACCACTAAGAACCATTTTCATTAGGATACGGCTACGTTCAGCCGTACTGCCTTACTTTCAGCTATGCTCGGGATTGTGCGTTGAAATGAAAGACTCTTCCTTTTTTTATCTTGTTCAGTTCTGCTGCCTTCCAAGATTTGCTAATTGGCGGGACCGAAATCGAATTACAGTTATTCACGTTTATTTTTGTCTGCAAATTTTTTCAATATTAATAATTGATTATATTGAGATTGCTCAATAATATTTGTT